AAACTATATATTTGTGCGGTGCAAACTGACGTATTCCCTTATATAATACGTACTTGTTTATTTATACATACACAGCACACATACATATTTCTTTAAAACGAAAAATAAGAGAGTATTCGTTAATGTAATAGAAATATCTTTACACAATTGCTTTTAATAATAACTATTTTAAATAAATGACTAGCTTGTCCTTATACGTGAGATTCATATATTTTTATGACTATGAATATTTTTGACTATACTAGGGACAAGTCAATAATGTTTCATATTTCATGTGTGCATATTTTGTGAGTCAGTCTTTTCAATAAAAAAAATTGCAACAGACATATAAATATAGCAAAAGTCGAGTTTTATATGTCGTAAAGGCAATGTAATTTCTTTCTTGACCAAATAAAAATTAAAAGCGCAAAAATGTATTAAAAATATACAATAAATTAATTAAAATTTTATTTTTACGTCAATCTGCACGCTATTGTTAAGAAAAATTGCTTCATTTTTATTTCATCATTTTTTTTAATGGATATTTTGCTTGCGAATTTTTCTTTTCACGACAACAGGTGAAGCATGTACAGACGATTTTATTTTTCTTGTCTACTCGTTATCATGTGATGCATCCATCGTCTAGCACCATCCTTTTATTTCATAGCAATCATGCGGACAGAACGAACAATTATTAAATTCACGACAAGAGTCACTTCGTGCTCAGCAATTTCCATGTGTCGCGTTCTTTCATTACGCTGAAGATTATCGACGTAATACTGACGAGCTTGTTAAATTTTAGCTGATGTACATTCGAATTATTGTCAATAATGCTCAACGACGAGCGCACGTGTTATTTCAGTTATATATTTAAAAATAATAATTCAACATTTCAGAAATATATAATTTAAAGGTTTCAAATTGCATATATAAGTTATATATATATAATGCATACATATAAACTATTGCATGTATCTTAGTTACAAAAGAGATGTTTACACCATATGCAATATTGTTTATATCAATAATATACATACAACTATATTAGCAATTAGGTGCTCGTATTAAACTGTCATAGTATCTCAAAAATTATTGTTCGTCCTATCAATAAATCTCGATACAGCTGTTTTCCTTTTTAAATAATATATTTCAATGTTTTAATTATTCAATGTTTAATTTAAATATTTGAATAAACTAAAAAGAATCTACTTCCTGTTTTTAATTGAATCAGATTTGCAAATAAATGTCCAAGTAACAGCGGAAAATACGCTTTCTTCTCTTTTTCTAGATTGAGGAATAATCGGAAGTTATCGATTGACGCGACGGAATCGGAATATCCGGGAGACGAATGCACAGTTGGAATTGAGAGTCCTGTGAGCAAAGTGAGAACGGCAAGCGCAAACCCAAAGAAGAGGACTCGCTCGAAGACTGAAAGAAAATGATCGAGGAGAGCTCATTGATGCCGCTGCACAATGGACGGAGTTCACTTCTTCGATGAGCCTCGTTAATCAGCATCGCGTACCGATTTTCTAAAGAGGGAAGAAAGAGAATACTGCAAATCTCTTATGTATCGCCTATTAACATGTCCAATAGTTGTCATAATGACACGTAATAAAAGTACAAAGTAACATTAATTGATACGTCAAAGTAATTTCGCAGTGATTTCTAAGATTGACGTCAAATATTTTTTTCTAAAGTTGAAACTTTATAATAAAAGATTAATATTTTTCTTTAACAAAAAAATTCTGAGAGAAATTCTTTACATGGAAAATTTAATTTACAACACATGTGTGTATATAAAACTATACCTATACCATTTGTTGCAATTTTTTTATTCGCGTACAAATTCTTGCAACTAGTTATACCGTATTACGATCAATATTCCAACTCTGCACTTTTATACGTATATGCTTACATGGATTTTTCGAGATACAGGATCGATGCGAACATTACCGGAACATAAACGCATTTCAAAATTGATCGACACAGAATCGCGAGGCAGCGGAGGAAGGAAACGGAAAAAGATTGATGATTTCGCGAGAAAAATAAAAAAGAAGCCTTGCCGCGGGCTTGCCTACTTTTGTCTCGAGCCTAGGAAATTTTCCAAGTTATATCATTAATTATATCGCGATATAGTTTATTTACATCGGCGGCGGCGCGAGAATACGGTAGGTCGATAGTTTCGCGACGTCGATGTCGGGCTTATAGTAATGATTCACTGTTCGCTCGCTCGTTTCGCGAACGAATAAGGGCGGCGCGTGAAATTATTTAAAAATCACCTCTTCACTCGCTCGCGCGTCGCGCTCTTATTTAACTCGTGTACACGCTTCGGAGAGAGAGACTTGTCCGGACGCGGTCCCAGGTGGATTGCAGTATTCTCCTGTCAGGCCGCGGCCTATTAATTTTGTCGCGCTAATCTCCAATCTGCGTCTCCTTACTTCGCAAAGTATTACGTAGGATCCGTGACTCCAGCCGCGACAAGCAATACTCGTTATAATAAATCGTTTTGCGTCCTAATCCCCGGGCCGCGAGATTTCCTAAACGCAACTTGCATTTCTGTCGGATCTCGGAGACGTCCGGATCTTCCCGTATACGAATTTTGATAAATGTATAGTTTGACATCTTCTTCTTCGATTGTACATCCGACCAAATATATATTTCAGCTTGCACATGTAGCTTTTTCAAAGAATGACATTTTCCACGAAATATTCTTTAAGCGGCAAAAAATTGTGCCATAGTCAGCAGTAATTATGATTTTTCAAGATATTGATCAAAATAGATTTAAAATTCAAACTAAATCAAAGAATAACAATTAAACCCAAATTAAATAAGAAAATAATAATTCTGACATTTCTATACATACATAGGTATTTCAAATTTTTATTTTATAATGGTTCACATAATTTTTTTCCATCAAAATATAACTTAACAAAAAACTACGTAAAAAATAATTAGAAATTAAAAAATTTTATAAAACTAAAAGTACCTAATTATATAAAAAAAGTCGAGAGAAAAAAGTAGTGCATTTCTTTTATAAATTTGACCTCTTTTATATACAAGTAAAACAGTTTCGTTTTTTTTTCGTTCTTTTGTTTGCTTGTTACTTAAATAATGTATGCAAGTTGTAAGTTTTACTAAACTATATCCAAATTAATCGCATTGGAATGGTAAGCATGCTCCGCGCACACACACACACACACACACACACACACACACACACACACACACACACAATTGTTGTTGGAAAAAAAGAAGAAATATATCATACTCCTCTCCCCGAGGAAGAAGTGTATAAGAAACACTTTACGCAACGCAGCGAGCATCATTAAAGACTGCTTTAACATTTAAGAACGCCGAGAATCCTCTCCTTTAAAGTTTTCTCCTTTGCACCGTCCGTTAACAAAAGTGTCGCTTACATCTTGTTACATTTATAAAACGGCACGTGATATTTTGAAACACGATGCATCGCGTCGACAAAAGATACGACAATTGTACATTATATATTTTTCAGTCGAGTATGCAGTAAGTAAACATCGTTGTTAATGCACACGATCTGAATTGCTTTAAAGGCAGTTAAAATCAAATTTCACAACTTGGATTTTATTCGATATATATTTCGCATCAAGTTGCAAAAATACGCAAATATCTCAAAATTAAATATACTATGTCATAATATATAATATACAAGATCTAAAATGTGTTTAGCGTTCGCGCTTTAAAAAATACTCCGACATTGTTTTATATTCAAACTGATTATGAATCAAAAACAATAAAAATAAAAAAACACATATTAGTTAAATTGTTACAGTACAGATTTACTATTTTTACTGATAAATTCGATTAAATAAAGATATCCTATCAGATATGAAATCGCGTCCAAACTCCGTAATATCATGAAAACAATGCATTTTTTTCACTCAATTTGATTGCATGAGTTTTTCTACGAAAAAAACAGAATTTTCCATTGATCCGAAATATACGATAAAATATTCATTACGTGGATCTAACTAATGCTGGTCCCGATGCAATTAAATGCATGCCCAAGGGCTTGCAAATAAAATTGACAAGATACAAGTACACTCGCAAAAATCATCGATGATTTTCCGCACATGTAAATACACGTATAAATAAATCATTTTAATATATACATATATATATATATAAATTTTTTTATTCTTGAGCTTGATCTCGATGTTGCAAAATCAAAATGGTTGCGTATTAATTATAATTTTTTTAAACTTCTAAGAAGAAATTTACATATAAACTTTAATAATATAGAAAATATTAATGTTCTATTATATAGTTAAATTTTAGAAGAGAAAATAGATTAATGAGAGCTAAGCGTGAAGATTAAATGCAGCCAATTTGTTTAAAATCTTTATTTCATTTTACCGGTTCGATTTTGTTTGGTCTAACATCACCTTTTTGTGTATATATATATATATATATATATATATATATATATTAAATTAAGTATAAGTTTTTTTGTCCTTCTTTAAAATATGATAAAAAACGAAAAGACTCTGATGTGTCAGTATAAATTCAGGTGGGAAATAACATATCGATCCTTTCTTTGGATTCTATCTTTAGTAGGTAGATTAACAAAAATTCATAGGTCTTGATTCATATTCCCGTCTTTGGTAAGGACCACACAAAAAAAACTTATACTTAATTTTTGCACAATTTGAAACCTGCTGTCATATCGAGTATTTCTGCTAAGAGAAAATCAATTCCATATTGATTGAAAAATTTATACAAATAAAACTTATGTATAAAAAAAATTATTAATTTACTATCTCGGAGACCGCGAGACAACGACTTTATTCATAGCGTTCTAATTATTTCGCGACCGCAATCCCCAAGTGTCTTGACTGGTCGTCGACGTAGTCGGCTCGTCCCGCTAACAGCCGCTCTACAATTTATGATTGGTTTCGCGGCGCACCGCGAGGTAGGGAAAAAAAGAATGGCGATAGAACAAAACAAATTATTTCATTGAATATTCAACAGTTGCCAGAAACAGATCCGTTATTCAGTGGTTACACCGACCGTGTGCCGATCGCTCGCGTCCGCGTGAACACGCTCCGGCCACCACTCGAAATATGTATTTTCCGTTTGTATGGGGAAAATAAATAATATTTGTCGCCGACGCAATTCTCTCCCGCGCGATTGCGCGTCGCGACGGCCGCGAAATATTTATCGGGAAATATTGGCCGGAAAATATCTATAGAATCCATATACGCTTGTTGCGTATATGTATGTGCATATATGGCAAGTGTAATTATATTGGATAAATGCGTGATTTAGTCACGTGCGACATGCTTCGAAAATCGAAAATCAACGTGAGCGCAAATTGTATTTTTGTCGAGTGATCGGCGTCACTTATCGAATATATTATATTTTCAAACATCTGCTCGTTGAGAAGCATCTGCTTTTCGAATACATGAAGAGCGATGCATGCATGCTGTCCTACTGAACCGTATCGGACGTCCAAAATGTTCTACATATTGTATGTAATAGTTTCGGTTTTGTATATCACATATATAAAACACACGTTTGCTTCAACGCACAACGACATTGTGTGTATTTAATGACATTGTCTACTGGCAGAACGTTACGAAGCTATTTAATATCGAGCTTGAAATTAGTTTCAGTTTCGTACAATTCGTCGGTGAGTCAATCGCGAACTAAAGCCGTGTGAATGGAATTAAAAATGAGACTTTTCCCGAAATAAATGAATCGACGATTAATTTATTGTCTAGAGAAGAATCGTGCTAATATATGTATATAGAAGAATATATGTTTGGGCAACCTTAAAAAATGTCTGGGCCTTAAAGGGCTTAAACATGGGGTTCCTATTAGGGATTTGCACATTACTACCAGATTAGGTCCTAGTAAGGTAATATCAGTTTTGAGTAGCTAATTTAATGTATGGCCTGAATAAGGAAACAAATAAGGATCCTGATAGGGCTTGATGAAGGTAGACAGTTATTAAAATAAATTATAACATTTTTAACTTATTATTTATCAAAACTCGACTGTTTTAAAATAAATATCATAATATATATATATATATATATTGATAACCATTATCTTGATCAGGCCCTATCAGTGCTCTTATTGGTTTCTTTGATTAGACAATACATTAAATTAGCTACTCAAAATTTATATCGCCCTACTGGGACCTAATCTGGCAATAATGTGAAAATCTTTAATAGCATAAAGACATATATATTTATCTAATATATATTTGATGATATATATGTATCAGATAGATATATATTTTTGTAGATATATCTTCAAAAAGATTCATTCAGTCCAGAAAATTGTAATTGAAAAGATATATTATCATAATCTCGCAATGGTGTTTAAACAATGCAAAAGAATATGGGATGGAGGACGCAAAATGCGTGAATCATTACTAAAATAAACGGCAAAATATGTAGGCAATAATAAGTTTATAATTTTATCGTCATATATTATATATATTTATATAATATAGATTAAGAAATAAATTAAGTTGCATTTATTTTTGTATTAATTTCACACACAAACATCCCAAAAAAGCGGATACATTCCTAGAAATTATAGGACCATCTTAAGGTAATATAAAGGATCTCATAAGGCAACTATCAAGGCCCTGATTACTTAACTTTTAAGGGCCCTTAATGGAAAATCATAACCGACCTTAAACGGTTCTTATTAAGCTTCAATATTAGGACCCTAACAAAGTTGGGAAAAATTAACAGGGGCCTTATCAAAGCCTTAACACAATTTCCACATGAGTTCTCTCAATCGTTGACGGTCGCGCGAGATCAGGGATCGGGAATGATGCCGGAAGTCGCGAAGAACGCATCAAACGGAACATCTTTCTCTCTCTCTCTCTCTCTCTCTCTCTCTCTCTCTCTCTCTCTCTCTCTCTCGCGTCGCTTTTTGCCCCTAAACCCGTGAAATTTTCGCTTTACAAACTCCCAAACAGTTTATTGAATTATTCACCAGATAACGAGAGCTCGTCCTGGGCCGCCTAGAAGACAATTACCAGGAAACAGCTCGAGATAACAACAACAACAACAACGACCGACATCCCCGACAGTCAAGTCTGTGTCGCGGGACTTTGTCGGATACGGCTCCGCGACACTCGCTCCACGACAACGACGACGACGATGATGACATCGAGGGAAAGGGGTTGTGGCGCCCACCCGGCAGCCATTTACCGGGGAACATCCGACGCGCGCCGTTATCTTTATAGTTCGAGGGCGGTATCGCGATCGGCCGCGACTGTTAATTAACGCGGGCTTCTTTCGCGAGAGATTGAGACTGGAGAATATCACGCATCGGTCGGTTCTCCCGCGTATACGCGGATGTTTACACGAGTTTGCGTAGATATATATAAGAGCGCGCGTGTTTGTATATATATATATATATATGTGTGTGTGTGTGCATTATAGACCGCAGCTGTGTTACGAGACCGAAATCGGAGAACTCGGGATTGGTATCGACGGCGTCGTCTTCCGGAGTCTCGCGAACCGCGTTCTTCGCTGGCTGAATCGCGTCCGACATCCTCCCATTTCCTTCTTGTATATTTCCCGTACATTTCATTTATTTCTCTTCGAGAAATAAAATTTATTATATATATTTTATTGCGTGAGAAATAATATTACTGTAGATTTAACATCGACGAGCACATCATCAGGTTCCTTTCTGGTAATTTTCAGTACCCGATTTTCAACCGAGATAGAAGCAATATTACGCTTCCCAAAAACTGGTCTCGCGTCAAAGTCCAAGCGCAACTTCGAGCCTCTTCGAGAAATAAAATTTATTATATATATTTTATTGCGTGAGAAATAATATTACTGTAGATTAAACATCGACGAGCACATCATCAGGTTCCTTTCTGGTAATTTTCAGTACCCGATTTTTAACCGAGATAGAAGCAATATTACGCTTCCCAAAAACTGGTCTCGCGTCAAAGTCCAAGCGCAACTTCGGGTCTCTTCGAGAAATAAAATTTATTATATATATTTTATTGCGTGAGAAATAATATTACTGTAGATTTAACATCGACGAGCACATCATCAGGTTCCTTTCTGGTAATTTTCAGTACCCGATTTTCAATCGAAATAGAAGCAATATTACCCTTCCCAAAAGCTGGTCTCACGTCAAAGTCCAAGCGCAACTTCGGGTCTCTTCGAGAAATAAAATTTATTATATATATTTTATTGCGTGAGAAATAATATTACTGTAGATTAAACATCGACGAGCACATCATCAGGTTCCTTTCTGGTAATTTTCAGTACCCGATTTTCAACCGAGATAGAAGCAATATTACCCTTCCCAAAAGCTGGTCTCACGTCAAAGTCCAAGCGCAACTTCGGATCTCTCTCTCTCTCTTTCTCTCTCCTCGCGCAATCTCCATTCTTATACAACCTTCTCTCTGGTTGCCTTCTTTAACTGCAACACTACCGGTGGGACGCTTCCGGCAACAGGAATGCCGTTACGCGGAAACTTTGCGCAAAGTCGGCACGTGTAATACTTTGAGGTCTGATTAAGCCTTGTGTGCGGTCGCCGCTGAGAACCCGGAGTGATGCTAATTAGTTTCGCCAGAGAAGACGACCTAGTATGTCACAAAATTTGCGAGAAACCACGTGCGTCCGGCAAAAAGGCAAAAGAAGGAGCAAAGAGAGAAAGAGAGAAAGAGACATTAGTTTGTTGGTTCGCGCATTGCGGAAGTATCGTTATTTTTACCGAGAATTCGCGCAATTCCATCATCATTTCACCGCAGGAGAGACCGAAATCGGCGACCGAATTGCCATACGCTCTTCTAGAATTGGCCGGACGCGAAAACACGGAGCCTGCTGTTATACCATAGCCTCTGCCTGTTGAAAATTACGAGCAACGAGAAACGAAAGAGAGTTGCACGATGCCATCGTCGCGGTGGCAAAGCGAGACAACGAAACTTGCAGCGGTTCACAATAAACCCCTCAACAATTCTACGTTTATCGCGGCTTTTATGTTTGCGGTCTTTACGAAACTTTACGGTATTCATCGCGCGCGGTTATCGGAACCGACGAAAATAACGATGCGTGTTTGCGTACACGACCCGTCCCGTCCTCTAATGTTCGCCGAGTTACGATCAAAGCGATATTCCTCGGACACTGCTGTTCCGCGCAACTTGTTTTGCACAAATCGACGACACACGGATCTTATCGTGCGGTATTTTATAGCGTATAAATATTTATTTGTAGATTTTTTTCAATTATTTCTCACGGTAACATTCTCAGACTACTCCGAATAATACTTGAAAAAACGAGAAAGTAGCATCAAAATTCGAGAAACATTTTTATATAGTTTTAAAAAATATATAAATAGTAACCTACGAATTAAAACAATTAATAAAGGATACAAGGAAAAACAAAAAAATTAATGAAGATGTACAAAAAAAGTATTCTTACAAAGTTAATGGTACATTCTCAGAGACTACTCAAAATAATACTTGAAAGCACGAATTAAAAAACGAGAAAATAGCATAGAAAGTCGAGACATTTTTATATAATTTTAAAAAAGAAATAAATATAGTAACTTACACATTAAAGCAATAAAAGATAAAAATTCGAAAAATTTAATCAACGTCCATTGACGTTGAAATAGCATCAAGATTGAAAAAAAAGGTATTCTTATAAAGTAAAAAAAAATAAATAATACACAGAAACGATGGAAAATAAAAACGTAAAATTTGGTGAACATTTATTAATACGAGAAACTGCGAGAAACGCTGTGACAATAAACGGCGACTCCTTGCAAATATTTCTACCGATGCATTGAAACGCGACGCCACGAGAAAGATCTTAACCGTATGCATCTCGAAATGCGTTTACACGAGGAACCCCCTCCTTTTTTGTTCGCAGACGTCGCTCGCAGCGACGGTTCGATATCACAAGGATCTGAATGCGGAAAGCTCCGTGCATGCGTCATTCTATTGCAGGAACTGCGGCTGAGAAAGCGGTTGACGTTAGGTGTCCCGGATAATCGTGCTGTTCCGGCTGCAGAAACTGTTGCTGCTGCAGCAACCCGGCCGTAACAGTAGCACGCAGATGTCATCGATGCACTTCGTGTTTCGAGCAAATGGGATTAACGTCGCAACAACGTCTGCATCCGATATTACTACTTGTATTTGCCGATTATTATTACATCTTGAAAATAAGGAACTATTCTTACACCCCGATCGAAAATTCCTTTGCATCTGAAATCTCGTATCACGTAATTAGGAAGAATTTTTCCTGGAAAATCTCGCTTGTAAACAAAAATTGTTTAATATTCCTATGCGATGAAAAAAATTATCATAGATTTATTTCATGTGATATAAATGTAAATGTATGTATCCGGTTTGAAAAATACGTAGAGATTCAATTATCATTTTTAAGTGAAATAATCAAAATTAGAATTTCAAATTTACATTCGCGAATATTATGTTATCTTAACTACAAGTACGAAACAATAAATAAACTAAAGCAATCAAAGAATCAGAAGCGCAATATATCTGTATAATTTCACCAAATCGACGCAATTGCAGCGCAATTCTTTCTTATCTCTCGTATTCGCATGTTGAAGAAACATAATTATAGCACAGCCGATAGCAATCGATTAACCGAGGAACAATGTCGCGTAAATCCGGTTTAACGCGTATCGCGAAAAGCAGATTTTTCGAATTTCCACTGACGGATTCTCGCGAAGTGCCGAGACTTCTGAAGCTCGACGGAGATTTAGAGCAAATGAGAAAACATTATCAAGGCGACGATTCACTGCAAATGAAAATTGAACAATTTCTCCAGCTTCGCGAATATATATAAACCTATATCCCTCAAATACCTTCCAAAAGTTTTGTCTATAAACCGCGTTCTTCTTTTTTTTCCTTTTTTATTTCCCTTCTCAGAACATTTCATCCTTGCTTTAATCCTCAGACACCTTTCTCAATCCGTTTTCCCTTTCTGCCCTTCCTTCTCGTGCTTTTCGCACAACAAAGTATTACTTATCAAAATACATTCCCCAAAGTCAAATCCTATTATTTCCAAGTCGCTGCGACTCGCCGTCTATTTAAATCGGTACCTAACTCATTAAACATCCGCGGAAGACGATTAGCGCTGGCGAAAAATTTCTCATTCACAAATAAATGCGAAAAATTGTTAGCCCGTCCCGCCACACATTATACAATCGTCCATTATTTATGAACAATTGTATTTACAATGGAGACTCCTATGAATATCTGCGGAGAGCGTATTTCACAGCCAATGGCATGAACGGTACGTGTCCTCATTTTCTTGCTACCGGGTATAGAATACGAGCGCGCGCGCGCGCGCGAAAACTCGATCCCGTCCGTATCCTTGGTCCTTCCACTCCCTTTTCATCCTTTCGCTGTTTTGTCCCGCAGTTCGTACGTCCATTCTGTACGCTTCCTTTAACTTTCTACGAATCGCCGTCCATCCGTTTTCATCCCATGTCGTCCATCCTATTCGCAACCACCTTCCACCTTTGTCCAACCGAGTACACCCCAAGAGCAGCGGATATATCGCAATGTGTTTAGCCGAATCCTTTCGACACGCGTTCTGTCAAAGTGAGAGCGCGCGAAGCGCCGCGGGCTCCTGTGATTAAAGAAAATTACGGGGCAGTGGATAATTACAGAGGGTGAGCGCGCGGACAGAGCTGACTGAGAGAGAGAGAGCGTGTGGCAACCTCGTTCCACCCTCACACACCTCAGTGTGACCGCCGCGAAATGCCGTCGTCTCTCGCGGCGAGCCGCAGCAGCATCCTCCGGCGCTGTACTGAAGGAACAAGGATACTGGACACCGGCGCTATAGTTGGTCGAGGTGTTCGTTTTCTGCCCGGAAAACGATCCTCTCTTTCTCTCTCTCTTCTTCGCTCTCGCTCTCTTTTTCGCTAGATCGAATTTTGCGGCTAAACGGCCGCGATACGCATATAACTTGGAACGTTGTAATCGTTCGAGAAAATTGTTATCGGTAATTTTAGAGAGTAATAATCGAGAGTATAATCGATTCCGAAAATTATGAATTTTATGCGCCGAAGGTATACGATATTCCCATCACGACGTCTTTTATAAAGGTATATGTAGGTATATAAAAGATATGTATATAGGATATACGCGATAATATTTTAATGTCATTCGATATATCTCATTTTATTTTTAATTTATTTATTGAAAAAATATTTGATTTGTTTAATGAAAATATATATGTAAAATCTGTTAAAATATGGGCGTCGTAAATTTCGTTATGTTGAACATTTTCAATCTATATAAAGGATGAAATGTAATAAAAATCACAATCATAAAATCGTATGACAGTCAAATATGGATTATTGCAGAATACATGTATATATATATAGCTGTATACCATTTGTTTCCATTATAAAGGTTAAAATTAAAAAAATAAGATACTTTGGTATCTACTCATATTTCGCATAGCGAACGACCACAAAATTCTCTTGCTTCCTAGCTAACCGCAACATCATTTTGTCATGGGCAAAAGGACGATAAACGAAAGAGGCGATTTCGCTGTTTTTCTCTCGAATAATATAACAATTTAATCTCACATACCTTCGTACTTTCCATCGATATCAAGTATAATAAAAATTTTTTAAATATTCTTCAACTTGTCATATGATAATCATTATCAAATAAAAGCCATTTCACACAATGTTAGACAACAATAATTAATCATCTGGAATAATAAAAATTTTTATGCATGTCTAAGGACCAATTTTATCAACGTCAATTTAAATATATGGCATATATCTTTGTCCTTTTTAAATACGTTCTTAAAAAGACAAAGATATAATTTGACGGAAGTTAAAAATAAAATTATATTAGAATCAGTATATAAGTTTTGTAACGTGAATATTTTCGTTTTTTTATCGCATATCTGATTTGTCTCTACCACTCTCTACGAGCCATTAAATTGTTTTGCAACTGAAAGTATCGAAGAAAGGAATTTGATGCGATATAGAATAATAATCTTTCAGCGTCCATTTTCTATCAAATTTGT